TACTGAATATTATAATTTTAAAGTAGAAACTTGAAATTGACTCCTTTTAATTTTGGTCCAAAATATTAAATTGTGGTGTTATGAATCCAAATTCATACTTGCATTCTGAATTTGCAAATTCCTATCTTAGTCATGGGTTAAAATCTCGTGTCTCAGCTTGTTCAAATAAGTACATTGACCTAATTGGAGATACTTTGTACACTAGATGCACTGCACATCCAAGGACCAGGGAAATCAAATCCCCACTCTGCCATAAAACTCACTGAATGGCCTTGGCCAGACAAATCCTCTGAGCCTAACCAACCACAAAGGTGTCAGAAACAGAGTCAGGTGCCCACAATCAAGCCAAGCATAAAATACCTGGAGGGTCAGAGGCTATAAGCGTGCAGAAATGTGGTATGGCCTGAAGTTAGGAATCCAAAAGGCAGTCCAGAACAGAGGCAGGATACAAGTTCAAATGGCCTGGGGTCAAGAACCAGAATCAGTAGAACTAACACAGTTTTCAGTCTTAGAGGAGTCCTGTGGCTCAGTGGCAGAGCATCTGCTTTGCATGCAAATGGTCCCAGCTTGAATCCCTGGCATTTCCATTTAAAAGGCTCATGTGATAAGTGATGTGAAAGACTTCCACTTGAGACACTGGAGAAGTGATAATAGTCATAGCAGACAATATGTTCATAGCATTGGTCTTATTCATAATAAGGCAGCTTTGAGTGTTCCAGTGTGAAGGTGAGAGGAGCAGAGGAGACTGTGGACTGTGTCAATGAAACTGTTGCAAATGCTGTGAAGAAAAAGAGGGACTGTTGCCCTGGACGTTTATTGGAATGTGGATGGAAGTGCAAATGCTAGCCGTCCATACTATATTTCTCGCAGTGTGCTTTGATACATACCCAAATGGATGCTCTGCTATGTTGAGTTAGATTGAGGCTTCAGAGTGAGGATGGAGCTACTGCATTTGCCTTCCATGAGGTCACCCCATAGTGTTTGTTTCTGTGATTTCATATCATCACTTTTATTACATTATTCTTGTTAGCCAAGCTTATGTGGTAAAGGATAAACAACCCCTTTTAAAAACTGGGGCAAAGCAGTGTAGAGGAATAGTGACTGTGAACAGGCATAAAAAACAGGCTGAAAAAGATGAAGATGGGTAGCCATGTTAGTCTGTCTGTAGCAGGAGAAGAGTCCAGTAGCACCTTAAAGGTGTGGGCCTTTGTGAGTCACTGCTCCCCATGTGGAAATGGCCGTAGTATCTGAAGAAGTAAGCAGTGACTATCGAAGTTAACACTCTATCACAAAATAAGGTGTTTCTGGCATGTCTCAATAGCACACTTTTTGCCTTGGTAATGTTGGACAGAGAAAATCCAGACTGTCTCAATTTGCCTCAAAGGGATACATAGGATAGCACATATCCTATGTATCCCTTTGAGGCAAATTTTTACAGTAATGCTTTTTGTAAAATTAAAATACAGCCTTGGTAATTTCTTTCTTTGCATGTAATATCTTAAATAACACTGCCTCAGTTATATCAGACATTGCATATTCATTTTGCATTTTTACTAAGCAGTTGAAGTAAGTGGTTGTATGGATTAGCACAGCTAGACTGAGTCAGCTTCTGATGTGTTATTGAAATATTACCTGCATGAGCAATTTGCAGTCAGAGGGCAGAAATAATTCTAATGAGGTCAATTAGCATTTGAAGTTCTTTTTTAGTAGCTTTAATTAAGCACAACCTTATATCAAGGACATCTGTGATTTCTTTCCTCACCTCTTCATTAATGCAATCTATAGAAGAGTTAAACGATTTATTTCAAGTTTGCGCAAAAGAATCCTCTCATTTTCACTATCTGCTCTTTCAATTAGGAAACCAGCACAACACCACAGCCATGTTTTCCTGGCATTCCATTGATTTACAAGGGAAGCAAAAGGGCATTCAAGCAGCCATTCCATTAATCAGATAATTGATGGTCATATGCCCCTAAGTCACGTTTAATACGAATTCAAGTTGTTGCATTTTTCCTACAGGATACTTAACTCATTTAAGATTCTCTCTGTTGCTGGTGGTGTTTTACTCTGTGGATGAATACATTTTTAGGAGCATTGTTTACCTTGGTTCCAAATTACGATATGCCACTAGAAATGAAAAAGAGTGAAGAAGAGAAGAAGAAGAAGAGATTGGATTTATACCCCGCCCTTCACTACCCAAAGGTGTCTCAGAGCGGCTTACAATCTCCTTTCCCTTCCACTTCCCACAACAGACACCCTGTGAGGTGGGTGGGGCTGAGAGAACTCTGACACAAACTGCTCTTTTTCAAGGACAGCTGTGCCAGAGCTTGTGACTGACCCAAGGTCACATCAGCAGGTGCAAGCGGAGGAGTGGGGAATCAAACCTGGTTCTCCCAGATTAGAGTCCGCACACTTAACCACTACACCAAACTGGCTCTCCCACCACCAGGAGTGGTGATGGGGATGCAGACAGGTGAGTGAGCGAGTAGGGGAGGAGCAGGAGCAGCTGCCACCTCCTTCCCCATCCTGTGAACTGCGAAGAGATGGCAATGGAGACAAGCAGGAGGCGGAGGAAGTAGCTGTCCCACTGCTGCTGCAGAAGCTGTAGAGGGATGATGCTGAAGGTGAGCGGGGAGTAAGGAACTGCTCAACCGCATAAGCAGTGGAGGGCCAGCAGCCGGGGTGGGCAGAGGTGGAAAGAATTGTCCTCCTTCTACATGAGCCATAGAGGTGCAAGTGATACAGACTAGCAGGCAGATAGGAGAACAGGAGCAAACACTACTCCTGGGGTGACCCAGTGAGCAAGAGGAGGATGGGATCCCCCCAGTGAGTCTCTTGGTTCCCTCTCTTATTCAGATATAATAAGAGAATATCATTAATCCTTCGTGTTGTAGTTCCTCACTGATGCTGTTTTAAGTCCAAAAGGGAAGTGGAAGAGGGGATAGAGAATGCGTAAGGAGGCAATGGAAATGACTGGCGGGTGCATTTGCCACCCAACAGAGTGGATTATTTGTCTTCCCAAAAAACAGGGTTGTATTGATAGGTTTCTATGCACAGCATTTCAGCCAATGGTTGCTCTGTCGGGAAATCTTTTTTTGGACCCTGTATAAGCCTGGACCTGCCATTTTCCTATCCATGTCAAATACTTTCTCACTGAGAGACTTACATTTATGGATTCTGTGTGACTTGCTTTGCATTGCTATTGCTTTGCAATTGCCAGACTGTGTATGTATGTGATATGATGCCTGCATTGTTGGGATGCCAAATGCCTAAATGTACCCACTCTGCAAGGTTTAATTGCCTATGAAATTATATTAGTATTCTTTCTCTTATATGTCTGGAAGGAGTTATTCAATGGGAGATGCAACCTGAGAGATTTTTATCCCAATTGATTGGGGAAATGAGCCATACATGAATGTGGAGTGCCACAAGGGGTGATCCTCTCACCAATGCTATTTAACATCTACATGCGCCCCCTCGCCCAGTTAGCCAGGAGTTATGGGGGCTGGGTTGCCATCAATATGCAGATGACACCCAGCTCTACCTGTTAATGTATGGCCATCCATCTTCTGCCCCTGACACTCTGGCTGAGGCTCTGGAGGCTGTGGCTGGATGGTTGCAGCAGAGCCGGCTGAAGCTTAATCCATCTAAGACGGAGTTCCTGTACCTGGGTCTGGGGGGGGGGGTAGATGTGGGTAGCAGACTCCTCACACTGGAAGGGGTGCCTTCGGTGCCAGCCCAGAAAGTGAGGAGTTTGGGAGTAATACTGGATGCCTCTCTTTCTATGGAGGCCCAGGTTACTGCAGTTGCCAGACATTTTTCCATCTTAGGCAGATAAGGCTGCTGAGACCATATCTCTCCCCCCAGGACTTAACTACAGTGATCCATGCAATGGTCACTTCCAGGCTTGATTACTGCAACTTGCTCTATGTAGGCTTACCCTTGAAGCTGACCCGGAAATTACAGCTCGTGCAAAATGCGGTGGCACATCTGCTGACATCAACGCCTGTGCGGGCTCACATCCGGCAGGTGCTCCACCAACTGCATTGGTTGCCAGTTGACTTTCGGATTTGCTTCAAGGTGCTGGTAATTACCTTCAAAGCCTTATACAGCCTGGGACCCACATATCTGAGGGATATGTGCCCCATATACGCCCCGAAGAGCATTACGCTCCATGGATAAACATCTCCTGGTTGTCCCTGCCTCGACCAGGGCCAGGGCTTTTTCTGCCCTGGCCCCTGCCTGGTGGAACATGCTCCCAGTCAAGATTAGGGCCCTGCAGGATCTTCTTCAATTCCGCAGGGCCTGTAAGACGGAGCTGTTCCACCAGGCCTTAGCCTGAGCCAGCAGATGTCTCTATATGGCCTTCCTGAGGTAATTGTCACCTATCCACCTATTAATCTGTTAACCCAAATAATATGCTAAAGAACCATACAACCAGTGACTGTCAGAAGTGTGATTGAGTTTTAATGTTTATTATTGTTTAAATTATTAACTTGTTTAATTTTAATCGTATTTATTGTACTGTTTTTATGATGTTACCTACCCTGAGCCCGCTTGCGGGATGGCCAGGCTATAAATACAAATAATAAATAAAACAAATAAATATTTTGCTTTATTCAGCAATAAAATGGAACAACGTTCTCTTACGTGCTTGAAATTTGGCAAACTATGTTCCATGGCTGCAGGCTACAGTTCCTGAGAATATCATTCCAGCTGGGTGGAGAACAAAAAAAAAAGTTATAGCTGAAATAGTGTTTAGTATTGATACTAATGGAAACGAAGAATACAGTAAAGAATCTAAGCAGACATGATAACAAACAGAAGGAAAATCAATAACATTGATCGAGCATGAAGCAAACTGAATATGACTATGTTTTGGTGTAACCCCTTACCCGCTATTGCTCATTCATAAATAAATTTGCTCAGATTGCTTAATGTCCTAATTTTTCTATTATTGAGAAGTGATAATAAATTATAATTTTCAAAATTATTTTTAGGTATCTGGAAGGGAATCATTTGTCTGCTGTGCCCAAGGAACTCTCCATGTTCAGGCATCTGACACTGATGTAAGTATCTCAGCATGTGTGCTGCCCCAACAAAAGCATTCTTCTGTTGTATTTGTAACTGACTAACCCACACATGTATTGCTAGAGGCATCTTGCAAATACAGCTTGCATGGTAGGCTCTGTTTTCTCTAGAAATGGAAAACATAACCAGTGCTGCCTTTAGAACAGGGATCACCCATAATATTGCTTGAGCCAGATGATAATCCTGTTTCTGTTAGGGGCACATGGAAGGCAAGTCATCCAGAGCCCACCTTTCTGGTGGCAGTATTAAGTCTTTAACTAGGAAGGCAGTTTGAGTACATGTTTGAATATGTTGCCCTGACCTGGATAGCCCAGGCTACCCCAATCTCGTGAGATCTCAGAAGCTAAGCAGGGTCAGCCCTGGTTAGTATTTGAATGGGAGACCACCAAGAAAGTTCAAGGCTGTGACAGAGAAGCAGGCAATGGCAAACCATCTCTGGACTCTTGCCTTGAAAACCCTACAGGGGAGCCAAAAGTAAGCTGCAACTTGATGGCACTTTCCACCACCATTGTTTAGCTTGGTTTTTAAAACGTATATTTCATTGTGTGCTAACCTAAGCCTTTCATGATAAGAAAAAAGGATACCTTTCCCATTTACCACATCTCACCAGGTGTTTTTTGTGCATTTGTTTGAAATTTTGAATAGTTTCACTAATAAAAAGGTACTACTGTGCCAGTTCTTGTGTTGATTTTCCAGGAGCATTTCAGCTATGGCACCAGTGAGCTGGCTATTCTTAATAGTTTGCTTTGAAAACCTTGCTTCTTGGTTCTGATCTGAGGAAAGACTTGTTTTCAGCATGCATGGCATCAATGACCTTTATGTCTGTGTCTTCCTTCAGTGACTTGAGTAACAACAGTATCAGCATGCTGGCCAATTACACCTTCAGTAATATGACGCAGCTCTCAACACTGTAAGTATTCAGTGGTTCTGGCAGCAGCTCTAATTGCTGTTCAGTATGAAGTTGATTACGTTAAGCAGTGACTACTTAATGTTTCTGAGTTGATGAATTCTGCTTTGCTTGTGCTTCACTGAATCAGTGGCAAAGACATGGAATCTGTTTTCTCTGATTCTTTTAGGATCCTGAGCTACAACAGGCTACGGTGTATCCCAGTCCATGCGTTCAATGGGCTCAAATCTCTCAGAGTGTTGTAAGTATCGCTATGTCTGGGTTACAGTTTAGCAGGCAGTAGGTGACAGCAGGATTTTTAAGGAGCAGATGGCTTTCACTTGACTCACTACATCACACACGTTTCCAGACAATTAGCTCCAAAGTACTTGTACCAAGATGTAAAAAAGCCTGTAACGACTGACGCAGGCGAATATTGGGTTTGTGTGCAGAATGTGAGATCCTGTTGAGCTTTAAAAGGATTATTAATTTTAAAGATGCTTAAGAAGTCTGAAGTAGGCTGTTCAGAAGAAGGCTTGTGTCAAATGGTTCTGTATCCTTTTGTAGCAGGATACCACTGGGACAATAAAATGGTATGTATTCTCTTACATAGTACTGCAGTGACCAGTAACTAGAATGGCCAACGGGTTTATCCCAAAAGGAAGAAAGTTCACAAGCAATGATCCTGTGTTCTGCTCCTTCTTCCTTATTGACTTTTCAGTGGGCCTGCCCTGGGAAGCATGGAAAAAAGCTCTCGGAAATAGATGGGCGGCATATCATGCATGTTTGCAGCAGCTTTCCTTCATTTCTGCAGCTAGTGTAATCACAGTCAGATGATCTATGAAAGCATGAAATGCCAGAAGCATGTGGGCTATACCACCCACATGTTTCCTGAAACCTCCTGTCTTCCTTCTTGCACAATAAGCTGTGTGCCATCTTAGGAAATGAACAGGCATTGTGGGAGACATGTAGAAAAGGGTGAATGGCAGCCAGTTGGAGATGGTGGTTATTTTTGTTTGTTTATTTGTTTTAAAATATTCCATCTTTTTCCTCAGACTCAAGGCAGCTTACATAAGCAACAACAAATTGCATTAGTAAAACAAGGCATTGGCATGTAGAAAAAACATTGAAAACAAACCACAGCAGAAACTGCCCCAAACATAACTTACCCTCCAAAAAGAACACTTTTGCGTGCCCTCAGAAAAACAGGAAGCAAGGGGTGTCTCCCATACCAGTTTTAATACTAGCCCTGCTACAGAAAGTGGCCTTTTTCTAGCTGTCACAGGATAGACTGACCTAAGGGAAGGCACTCTGAGGAGAAGGTTGTCTGAGCAGCTCAGTAACTAGGTAGGAGTGTCCCAGCCTATAAAGCACTTTGAACTAGGCCTTGAAGTAAACCAATGCAATGAAACAACCATATTTTGTACCAATTGTAATTTCTGAGTCATCTTCAATAGACCAACAAAAGTTTTGGGAGGGGTCTCTTTTGTTGGTCTCTAAGGTGCTATGGGACTGGGATCTAGCTGTTCTACTGCAGAACAATGTGGCTACCTCTGAAATAATCTTCCAATGACATGGATCAGCATAGCTAGGCTAACGGAATCTGAGAAGCCGGTTAGTGCAAGGAAGGCAACAGCAACAGTCTGTTCCTTCATCAGCAAGGCTGTGTGCAGGAGCACCCCAAAATACTTTTCTTGATCTATTAAAGAAAGCTTGAGCCAATCTAAAGTTGTTAAATCAATCCTAGCCAACATTTCGACCTTCTCAGCTAGCATCATCTCCCCCTATACACAGTGGGCATCCCTGGGTTCACTCCAGGACATGCCACCATTTTAAAAAGTTAGTTCCTGGCTGAGAAGTCCTTTAAACTGCACCATAGGGATCTGATTCTGATCAGGACTGCCATGGCACGAGGGAAGGAGTGAATCCTTCCTCCGCCCCCGCCTCCCATTTTTATTATATGAGGATGGAAACAGAAAAGGGGAAGATGCTATGGGGCTTTCAGGGAAAGGAAAGAGGAAATCACGGGGGAGGGAAAGTGAAATGCTTCCTTCAATTCCTTGCGGAACGCAGCTTGTCAGTATCCAGTTCTGAATATGATCAAATCTTTGGATACTTAAATTCAGAGATTGAAGCCATGGACAGTGACAGCAGCTCTTTCTACAAAGCAGAGGAAAGCACCAGTTTGCAGAAAAATCTTAAATCTAAAAATCATGCATTGGGAGTTCACAATCCCCAAAATAATACAAGCAGAGCCTGTAGCTTTAAGAAATGAATACCCTCTGCAATGGCCATTGTGGGGGTTACTAGACATCCACAACAGCATTACCAGCTTTCAACACTTGGTTTATGTCACTAAAAGGTAGGGGGGCAGAGACTTCATTAAGGCCAGGCCTCCTAGCAACCACTGGCAGGCCCAGCTGCTGACTACTATTCAACAGCAACCATCAACATGAAATTCTGAAGGCTTCATACCTGGCTACTGTTAACAAAACAGCCAACCTGGATTTGCAAAACTGCGTACTCGCATCAGAGAAATGCATTCAATCCAGGCTCTCAGATTGGTATAGCTATATAATATGATATCTGAAAGTACACATAAAAATGTAATCTGTGAAGAGGCCCAAATAGCAACACAGAATCTGAATTTGTGAACAAGGCACACATTATTGCACCTATAATTAATTTTGGTATCCTGAGACGCTTTCAAATTAATCAGATAATTTCCCTCTTTAATATTGATAGAGCAAATTTCCTTGCAAACAAAACAATTAGGAAAGGAGTGGCTCATGCATGAAAAAGACCCTGTTACCTGCACATCAAACTTAGTCAGACAATAAGCAATGTATCTTTTCTAAGAAGAAACCTGAAAACATGGAGATGCTTTTGCTGATTATTCCTTTCTGAGATTCTCTTGGGAACGCTGATAATAAATAAATGACACTAACAGATTGCATGCTGTCGCTTGGAAGCACTTTTTCTCCCCAGGAGAATTGATTTTTAATAACAACGTAGATGACATGTGGCGAGGGTTGTAGCTGACACCAGAATTTTGTAGACCATAATAAATCAAATCAATCTGGAGGCTTCCAAATGCACAGAACTCAGAAAGAGAGACACACTCAGTTCATGCTTCAGCTCACTTTTGCACAGGAGTGAAAGTGTTCCCATGTTATCTCTCTCTGAGCAAAAACCTACTCCAAGATATGACTAAGAAGGGCTTTCTGAGCAAGCAGGGGGCCGGAAGCCAAATCCATGAGACTGTGCTGTACTGAGCCTTACGTTCTTGCACTGGTCCATGAAAACAAGGGAGTTTTGATTAGCTGTTGCACACTTGCAGATAAACAGTACATGCTCATTAACCAAAGAACAAAGATAGTGAATTATTTCTTAGTTATACACTGCAAATTACATCCTGCTAGTAACTCTTTCCAGCATCTGCATCTGCACAGAAGTGATTATCAAAAGATGGATGGTTCAGCATGGAATTGATATCCATGTAGGAAATGAATGTGTTGGAAGTAGCCATCAATGGCACTGCATCATAAAGTGCTAGATCATAGGTCATATCCTGTTGTGCATAATATGCTGATGATATCCATATATCTTTATCAAAGCCTCCAGAAGCAGCTGTTCTGGGCCAGTGTCTGAGGCACAATTTGCACAATTTGGCTACCACACAACTTACCTGAGCAACATGCTACTGCATGACTTTTGCAACTTGGCTAGACTTTTCCCTTGGAGAAAGTATGAGTGGAGGGGGAAAGTTGCGATCCAGTGTGGAACATTGGTTAAAGTATTAAATTAGTATCTGGGAGACCCCGGCTCAAATCCCCACTCTGACATGAAGAAGAAGAGAAGAGATTGGATTTATACCCCGCCTTTCACTACCCGCAGGTGTCTCAGAGCGGCTTACAAACTCCTTTCCCTTCCCCTCCCCACAACAGCCACCCTGTGAGGTAGGTGGGGCTGAGAGAGCTCTGACAGCTCTTTTTCAAGGACAGCTGTGCCAGAACTATGGCTTGCCCAAGGTCATCCAGCAGGTGCAAGTGGAGGAGTGGGGAATCAAACCCGGCTCTCCCAGATTAGAGTCCGCGCACTTAACCACGACACCAAACATGGAAACTTGCTGACTGTCACGGGCTGGCCTGGCCTGAGCTGAGAGGCTCAGGTCCGGTCCAAGGTTGTAGCCAGGAAAGTCAGAGCAAGAGCCGAATCATGAGTCCAAGAGAGTGGTTGTCCAAAGCAGGGGTCAGGAAGCCAGGAAATCCAAGAAAGAGCAGGGAGAACAGGAGCCAGAAGTGGATGCGAGGTCTGCACGGAGGCAACTCTTTGCTTCCACGGGGAGCCCGATCCCGAGAGGGAGCTATATAGCCCCCCAGCCATGCTTCCCATGGTGGCGGCACCACTCCTGCTAGTACTCAGGAGGACTCAGCGTTCGCGTTCCCTGCCAGCATGAGTCTCGGCAGCAGGTGGCCAAATCCCTGCAGAGTCGCTCCCTCAGCCAAGCCACTGCGGAAGTGAGTCAGGCAGGCTTTCTGGTTGCACCTGTACCTCATCGGCTGCTGCAGGACCAGGTGCGGGGGTTACAGGCTCGGGTGCTGGCAGCAGCAATTTGTCAACTCCCAAGGAGTCCAAGGGGTCAGCTTCTGGCTCTGGCAATGCTGGCAGCTCTGACTGCTGCCACCTCAGGTGAGGGCCCGGCACTGTTGTCATCGCCTATGACACTGGTTGACCCTGGGCTAGTCACTCTATCTCTCTTAGCCTTATTTATCTCATAGGGTTGTTGTGAGGATAAAATGGAGGAGAGGAGAATGATATAAGCTGCTTTGGGCTCCTATTGGTAGGGGAGAAAGGGGTATAAATGATGTAAATGAATAAGAAACACGCTGAAGACTGTGGGGGGAGCAGATAAAAGAATGGTTGGTGAATGGAAGGAGATAAGGAAGCAGCAAAAGGAGAGAGGATATGAGGAGTCCCCAGTAAGACAGAAAGAGGAAATAGTATGGGGAAATGAAGGACACGAGTCCTTGCAGGTTCTCTGTTAGCATCCATTTTCCTTTCTATAATCATAATCATCGTCAATAAGAAACAATGAAAGCATATTCCCAAACCATTTTAATTTAAAATTATAAAGCTGCTAAAATAGACTATTTCCTAAATTTTGTATCCAGTGGGTCAGACTGTGGTGTTTTTTTTTAAAAAAAAATATATCTGTGTGTTTTAATGTTGCTTTTGGTGGTGCCATATTCTAATGTCGTGTTATTTCCTCTTCTCTTAGGACTCTTCATGGCAATGATATTTCCAGTGTCCCTGAAGGGTCCTTTAATGATCTTGTGTCACTTTCCCATCTGTAAGTATTGTTCCCTTCAGTAGACTAGTGACACTTTACAAATCATTTTGCCAAATGGAATTTGTACAGCTATTTTATATTGCAACTCTATTTATAAGTGCAAAATGCACCTCTGATACAAATTTAAAGACAGGGCTACATGGATGATCTTTTGAAACAGCAATCAAATCATAGATCCAAATTTAGTGTGACAAAGATTATAAACTTGAACAGAAATTTCCAAACTTTTATATCAGATTTAAATGCCAAAGTATTAACAATCCAGCTGGATGTTTGTTTTCAATAAATCATTAAAAAGACCACCTGGATATTTGATGATGCCTGATTGCATGAATGGATGTGCAAGTAATGAGTTGTACTGGCATGTCTGCAGGGTGGATTGTTAAATTTATAAACTACTGTCTCCCAACAGCAGTTTCCAAATGTACTTTTTACCCACATGATAGGGGGTTCAGTGTGGGCAAGTGCAAAGTAATGTACATTGGAGCCAAAACTCCTAACTATAAATATATGTTGATGGGGTCCAAACTGGCGGAGACTGACCAAGAAAGAGATCTTGGAGTCATGGTAGATAACTCACTGAAAATGTCAAATCAGTGTGGGACAGCAATAAAAAAGGCAAATGCTATGCTGGGGATTATCAGGAAGGGAATTGAAAACAAATCAACCTGTATCATAATGTGCCTGTATAAATTGATGGTGCGGCTTCATTTGGAATACTGTGTACAGTTCTGGTCACTGCACCTAAAAAAAGGTACAGCATTGGGATAAGTGCAGAAAAGGGAAACTAAAATGATTAAGGGGATGGAATACTTTCCCTATGAAGAAAGGTTAAAGAGATTAGGGCACAGTCTTTAGCTTGGGGAAACGAAGACTGACGGGTGACATGATAGAGGTTTACAAAATTATGCATGGGATAGAGCCGGTAGAGAAAGAAGTACTTTTCTCCCTTTCTCGTGATACAAGAACTCATCGGCACTCAATGAAATTAATAAGCTGTAGGTTTAGAACAGATAAAAGGAACTACTTCTTCACCCAAAGAATAATTAACTAGTGGAATTCCTTGCCACAGGAAGTGGTGGCAGCTACAAGCATAGACAGCCTCAAGAGGGGATTAGATAAACATATGGAGCAGAGGTCCATTAGTGGCTATTAGCCACAAGGTATAGATGGAGCCCTATGTGTGGGGCAGTAATGCTCTGTATCCTTGGTGCTTGGGGGTCAAGGTGGGAGGGCTTCTGGAGTTCTGGCCCCATTGGTGGACCACCTGATGGCACCTGGGTTTTGGCCACTGTGTGACACAGAATGTTGGACTGGATGGACCATTGTTCTTAAGAATATTCTATAATGGGCCATTATGTTCTTAAGAGTGTTCTATAATGAAGTTTATAGCACAGATCAGAGAAGTAGAGAGGCAAAAGCAATACAGAGAAAGGTCATCACAAAGCGTATGTTTTTTGGTGGGGTGCTTTTTTGTTCTGTTTTTAAAACATGCTTGTTTTCATTATTGAACCTATTTATTTCACTCCTCTCCTGTGACTTATTGTGCTGGGTGGACCTGGAATTGGGACCAGAGCTGCTGCTGGCCAGGCCAATCCCTGCCAGACAGAGAGTTAACAGAACAAGTCCTTCCAATGTGTCAGAGTTGTGGCACCTTGGGAAATGTAGTTCCCATTATTAATGTCAGGCACTTTGGAACCACATTTCTCATGGTGCTCCAAAGTGCCACACTCAGGCCCCTTTCAGACAGCCTTTGTAATCCATTTTGGTACTTGGTTGCTAATAGATTATTTATGTAATTTCAGAAACCGTTTTAGTAACTGGCTGCTAATGGACTTTTTAAAAACCTTTTCATACAAAGCCGCTTGTGTCCATTTAGCAAAGCATAGTTGAGCAGTTCTTGAGCTGAACTGCTTTCTTCCATTTTCACCTTTTCTTTACGCTTCTGAATCGCTGTCGTGTACTGTTTCTGCAGTGCTTCCAATAGTGCCATGCTTTTTCCCTTGCCCTTTTTCACTGTGCAATCTTCCTTGAACATTTTTTAACATTCTAAGTTGAGTGCTATAGTGCTAGACCTATGTAGCACTTCAGTGCTACAGCAGCACCATTGAGATGCCTTGGCACCATTGAGATACACTGAGATTGCATCTGTTGTTACATGGTGAAACGTTCAATGGTGCCACTGTAGCTTTGAAGTGCTGTATTGGTCTATTGCTACAGTGCTCAACTTAGAACATTTTTTAAAAGTTCGAGGAAGCTCATACGGCAGAAAGGGGGGGAGCATGGCACTCTTTGAAATGTCCATAGCGCTTCAGAGACAACTCATTAACACAATGAAATTTGTTGTATGAAACCCTTTACTCGGAACAGGGCCAACAACAAATAACATCTGGTTTAGAACGGTAATGTGAAAGGGGCCTCAGAAGCACCAAGGAGAAGAGCATCAAGGTGCCAAGGGGAGCAGTGGGAGAGAGATTCTCTTATTGCCTGCGCTTGCTGACCCCCCTGTCTGCCTGGCCATACCCCTGGTCTGGCCAGCTGCAGCCCTGGCCCTATCATTAGTCCTGATATGTCAGAGGGCAAGGGTGAGCTGGGTTTAAATCTTCACTCAGCTGTTAAGTTTACTGGTTGACTTTGGGCTTTTCACCAATGCTCTCTCTAAGCTGTGGAGTCTTGTGAGCAAAAATTCTACTTTGTGAGCTACTGGCATTAAAGTTGTGAGCGAACCATTTGGCTACTGCATAAACTAGTTTCCTCTTGAGCTTGGGCTAAGACAAAAATGTGTGAGCTGGAAGCTAAAAAGCTGCGAATTAGCTCACACTAACTCAGCTTTGAGGGAACACTACTTGTCACTGTCTATCAGCCCAACGTTGGCTAAACAGAATGCTAAACACACCATGTATATTTCAGGGTGTAATATGCTGTTGAAACGGCTTTGTTTTTCTACATGTCAGATCAAGATAGAACAATAATTCTGCAGTAGGCACTCACATGCAACTTTTGATTTCTAAGAAATCATTGTACCCTGCTTTTAACCATACCAGAAAGAATTAGAAAGAGAATTTTTGATTCCAGTCATGTGAGTGTGAAGCCTGAGTGATATTTGGTATATGTTTTAAGTCCAGAAACATTTGAACCATTGGGATAAATGTGAAAGTAGCGATAACTGGCTGGGTAATATCAGCCTTTTCTTTCGGGCTGTTCAGTGAATCATTTGGAGAAAAATGGAGTCGAGAACGGTTGCTTACCATTCACATAATAGTAGGAAAAGACAGTGTACACATTAAGTAAAAGGTCATGGGCAAGCACGATTCTGAGTGTCCACCACAGCACAGGCACCTCTGATCAGTACCCTATGGCCATTCCATAGAGGGAATGTATCCCTCTGCAAGACACAGCAAGTGCACCAGAGTCCCTAGCAACTATGGCAACACCCACCAACCAGGGAATGACATCATGCTGGCCACCCTACAGATGCATGTTTGAGTTCTGTCCTATTTGCTGACTTCCTTTTGGCCAGGCAGGAGAACCACAGACCTCAAGCAGCAGCATAGAAATGCCTCTACAATAAAGGCATCTCCATCCGCTGGAAGAAAACCCATGTGTCAAACAGAAAGCATGATTCCAAACCCTGAGGGAGTTGGATGGCAGCCAAAAGGCTCATTGCTTGGCAATGAGCTGATAGCAAAACACAAGTCAGAGGTCAGGCTGAAACCTATGCCTGCTTATGCCTGCCTGCCACAGCCAGGACCAGCATCCTACCCACTGAGCTCAGCGGGCACATAAAAAGCAGAAACAGCGTAGGGCATTAGGTATTCCACTGCAGCCCTGTTGTCACCACCAGCCATATGGATCCGGGGAGGAAACAATGCCATGTTAGCATTTGTAGGGCCCTTGGTTTGATCCCCACACAGGGCAGGCACCAAGGCAGTTTGGTTATTCACAGCTGAACTTTTGCCCCATTAACTTTTGCCCCATAAACTGCATCATAGGGGACAGGTCAGTAATGCAGATGGGCCACCCCAGATGTCCATCATTTTGGCTGACATGCCCTTCACACTGTATCCCTCCTGCACTTAAATGGCCCATCAGTACCATCACTTCCCTTGCCCCTCAGGACCACTTCTATGCTGAGCATACCCATGCCCCATCAAGATGCATGGCTTACCAGATGCCAGCAGTGCTGTAGGGGAGTATAAGACCCACTCCCTTACAAGAGCATACATGCCCCCCTTGGACCACCCCTCCAGTGCCACTCCCAATGTAAATTGCACATAGCATCTGAAGGACAGTAGGAGCGGGAAGAGGGTGAGCAGCCAGCCTGAACTCCCAAACATCACACAGCACTACAGCTGTCATTCAGACTTTTATGAACAGCAGCAGCAGGGAAATTGAGATGAGGTCCAATGAATGGAGTTGCCAGCTCCCTCCAATATCTTCAGAGGTGAAGTATGTGTAAGGATTCTGACCAGAGAAGTGTGAGTAACACTGCAACGTTTGTTTTGTCACTTGGGTGTTAGTGCTAAGTGCCCTTTATGTGCATCTCTCATCACCAAAGTACAACAATGCACCCTTGTAGTGTCCCCAGTAGGTTCCTGAGTGACAGAACCCCATACTTCATGTCCTATCATCTGAGCTATGAGTGTCCTGCTCCTGCCTGGAATTTATGTAGTACTGAGGGGATGATTGGGTGCATGGAGGGGTCTGCCCAGCCACTGGGAAGGGGTATGGTTAGCTGTGACTGTAGTCAGATGTCAGGTAGCCCTTTCATAAGTCTGGAATGTGGAGGGGTGCCCTCCCATTTTCTGTCTCAGCTCTCTGGCTCACCAACTGTTTACTATCTTATGTTTGACCTTGTAGATGCTCCAGCTGCAGTTTTACTTGGCTGGGAAAGTTAACGGCTTTTTGCTTTGCCTGCTTGCTTTGCCCGCGCACACGAGATGTATCCATTGGCTTATGCTTACCCGAGGCCCTTGTATAGGCGGCTATTCCTGACACAA